CTTTAGATTGTTGTGATTAGCGCTTGTTTTTTAATATTTATATCGTACTTTATCGTGCTTTATTTTTCTAGTTTTATAAAATAAATTAAAATATTAAAGTTTAAATTATAATATTTCATAATAATAAAAATAATAGTGATAATATGGTTTTACACCAAGATTTTATATCATAATCGACATAAATATTTTTTATTAAATGATATCTATTGAGTTTTTCAAATATAATACATAATTCAAGTCCTGTATATACATATATATATATATATATATATATATATATATATATATATATATACATATATATATATATATATATATATATATATATATATATATATATATATATATATATATATATATACATTTAACTTTTAGGAATGATCCTCACTATGCCACTGGGTATTATGAATGCTGCTGCAATAAAATTTATAATTATTATATTATTATATATTAATTTTTTTTTTTGTGCAAATAGATTTTTTTTTTAAATATTCCTAAAAACAATCTTGATATCGCTTTAAATAGAATTTAAATATTAAAAAAATGGTATTGCGTTAATCATATTCTATTCAACATTTTTGTTAAAAATTTTTAGTTAGAAGCTTATATTATGTGTTAACAACATATAAGATATAAACAGAAACGCTTGTATGGCTAACTTTTGCGAGTCTTTGTGCATATTAAGTAAAATTGTGTATATAAGTAAATATTTGAGTAACTGTAACTTACTGTAGCAACTTAACTGGTTGTTTTGATTTAGTTTATAAATATATTTACTGAGATGCACTTTATCCATTCAGTAAACAAAGTAAATATAAGGTTTGGGGTAGTTAAAGCAAAAAATGTTAAAGCAAAAAAATTACTGGTTTCTATCAGGATTAACTATGAGAAAATTTTTTTAATAAAAACAAATTTAAGATATATTTGAATATACATAAAATAGGGTAGTCTAGGGCTAATCTGAACAGTTTATTTTTTCTAACTTATTTTATCTATTATTCAAAAATGAAGTATCAAGTTCTGATTAAACTTGTTTTATATAAAGTATACTCGTGGAATGACAATATATAATATTTATTCTTTTAAAAACACAACAGCTTTAGAAAATGTTTCCGTTTTCCAATAACGGCTAAATTTTGAAATTTTTTTTAACTCTTTAACTTTTAAAAAAGAACCCATTTATTTATTTTGTATTTTTTTACAAAGATAGCTTTTAATATCAGAATTTTACGCAGAATTTGTTGTAGTATTCCATTATTTGGTACATTAAACTATTCCATCGGAATTTCAGCATTGAAAAAATAGGGTTAATCCAAACATTTGCGGAGCTAATACAAACATTGTTGTTGTTGGCCGGTATCCCTATACTTAAGCATTTATTTAACAAGTTATATGTAAAGTTATAAGTAATTAATTTAATGAAGTTAATTAAACCTCATTAACATCATGAAATATTGATTGCGGTTTCAGCTTGAATAATTTTTTGGTTTCGTTTGTTTTGTTAAGAAGAAGACAAGTAAACCAAATAATATACTTAAATTAAATTTTACAGATAAGCAATGTTTTATTTGGTTTCTTTATTTTAATTTTTAACTTTAACTCGATCACTTTTATACTGTGATTGAAGGTGATTAAATATGCATTTTACATGATTTTTTTTCTGAATTTTTTTAGTTTTCATAATGGTTCGTCATTATAAAAAAAAAAACCCATCTGCCTTATATACTTCAAAAGATATTGAACAAGCCATAGCAGAAATTCAAGCAGGTGCTTCATTACGTGCGGCTGCATCAATGTATAACATTCCTGTCACTACCCTCTATGACCACGTATCTAGAAAGTCATAACTTAGTAAAGGGCATCCAACAACCTTATCTTTTAGTGAAGAGGAATGCATTGTAGCTTCATTAGAATATGCATTGGTTGGCCACTAAATTGAAAAAACATTAAAGCAATTGTAACTCAATTTTCGAACAGTAGTGAAGGTAGAGTACTTCCCTGGGATAGTAACGGGCCAGGTGACAACTTCTTACTAGGCTTTGAAAAAAGATGGGTTTCTCAAATATCTAAAAGAATTTTTTTCAGAACATTTCCAGAAGTTTTAACAATTTCAAGAGCTAAATTTCTTTCTGTGAAAAACAAATTTTTTTGAAATCGTTAAAAGAGTTTATGATAAGTATGATTTACATAATAATCCTAACCGATGTTATAATCTGGATGAGTTCGGATTTTCTACCAATGGAGAAAATAAACAATGTTTTTTTAGACGCGGCATACATTTCACCCCCAAATTAAATGCTTCTTGTGACAAAACTATGTTCTCAGTATTAATTTGTGGAAACGCTACTGATTTTCTTATGCCGCCTCTTGTAATTTATAAAGGCAAAATTCTTCACAACACTTGGTGTATGGGGGGACCCTCAATATGCTGTATCTAAGTCAGGGTGGATGTAAGCATATGTCTTTGAAAATTGGTTTATCAAGGTAAGTCTGCTAGTAAGACCTTTTCAGCATAAATTTTTGTTCATTACTTTACCCTTTCAATGTGTAGATATGTTAAATTTTACTTGTGTTTTTTTTTTTTTTAATATTTAAGGTCTTTATTCCTTACAAAATTAGTCAACATGGAAACCATACCACCCAAGCTTTAACACCAAATAATGAACTAATTAAAGGGCATGACCATAAACATACCACTTGGAAAGTGTTTACTTTTTACTACTTTAGAGAGACTACTGATTTTAATGAAACTGGTTTGTAGTTGCTAGTAATTAGCCATTTTCTTTTTTTGAATATTAGGATTATGTTTGCCAATTTTTGTTTAATTGATACTAATCCGATTTTAAGGAATTTTTTTGAAAATCATAGTTAAAGTAAAACAAAGGCAGATGCACATCAATTAAATATTGATTTTACCATGGTCCTGGAGATTTATATTCATCTAACTGAAGTTTTTCTTAATTAATTTCAAAGTTACTATATTATCTATTGTTGTCTCACAATGGAAAGACATACAATAACTTTTTAGAACCAGTAAATTATTGGTATCCTCTTTGGCAAAGACTGACCTGAAGCAACCATTTAAAACATCATTTCACAACGTCATTTTAAATGTTAACATCCATAATGTTGACTATTTGGTCAGGCCCTTTAATTAGTCCATTATTTGGTGTTAAAGCTTGGATGGTATTTATAAAATTATTTTTGTTGTTGATACATTTGAATAGTAGTTTTGGATTAAGGGTAGGAAGTGACTGAATAAAAAAATTACTTAGAATGTATAAATGTTCATGCAGCCCCGGTTACAAACCCAGCCCCGTCCCCAGCTACATTTTATCAAACCCGGCCCCGGTCAAATATCAACCCCGATTGCTTACAAATTGTAGGTTGATTTACTTACTAGATTCTTTTCAAATAAGCGTTTTGCTTGTAGTGCTTTAGTTTTTAAATCTTTGCATACTACTTTGTATTTTATTTTGACATTTAATACACACTAACTCTTTAGTTTCTTGTATCGCCGAAAAGATTTATTGGCATTATGAGTTCTAGTTTGTGATATAAAAGATTTTATGTAAACTGATAAAAATTATTTTTATCTGTAGTTAAATTCTTAAAATGCATTGTCCAGTTCATTCCTTCATAATATTTATATAGTAATATGCAATGTCTTTGTCATAGTAATACACAATATCTTTATTTAGTGCTACGAAGACAACACCAAACAAGGTTTGTTTCTTATCTACATTAATGACCTGACATTCTTAAACCTAAAGTAGCTCTTTATCTGCTGTTGACTCAACTTCTAATCTTACAAAAATCTTATCTTTTTGATTGCTTAGAACAGAAGATCTTGAATCTGATTTTATTTTTGTAGCCTTGCAGTAGCTAGTAAATTTTAACAAAACTCAGTTGTTTACTGCAAACAACTATCGCATTACTGTCGACATTCCTTTATTGATGAATGGCTATTGACCTCTCATGGAAAACATATATACAATCAGCTAGCATCTGCCAAGGTTGCTTCTCTTTATTGTAATCCTGATTCCATCCTCTATCTCTACAAATCTCTTATTCACCCCTCTATAGAATAATGTTGTTATATTTGGGCTGGTTCTCTTAAGGATGTCTTTTCTTTTCTAGACAAGGTCCAAAAACAGTTTTCAAGCAAAGTTTGACCTGCTCTGTCTGCCAAGCTTAGTTTAAAAGTTAATGCAATTATTATTATTATTAGGTATGAGGATTTTCTTTTTAATATTACGCATGTCCTCTGGGGCCACCACACTCCTGATGATGATGATGATGATGATGATGATGATGATGATTATAATGATGATGATGATGATGATGATGATGATGATGATGATGATGATAAAGATGATGATGATGATGATAATAAAGATGATGATGATGATGATGATGATGATGATGATGATGATGATGATGATGATGATGATGATGATGATGATGATGATGATGATAAAGATGATGATGATGATGATGATGATGATGATGATGATGATGATGATGATGATGATGATGATGATGATGATGATGATGATGATGATATAAGAAAAGAGAATTTATACCAGATTCAGATTAGCTTTAAAAAACTCTAAAATACGCAAAAATGCTTGCTATTTTTTTTATTTATCATTTTTATAACACTAAACTATAAACACTAATAATAATTTAAAAAAATTTAGAAAATAACAAACTTATTTCTAAATAATAATATATCATAAAATAAATATCAAAATAGCATACAAGATTATTATTATAACATCAATGATCATCCAGCTCATATTTTAAAAATTTGGAAAACATATTTTTGCTATGGGCATATATTTTACAACAAAACTTTTATTAAACATACAACAAAAAATAATTGTATAATGCTCAAAAAATAACAAGACGCTCATAAATAAGAAAGTTCATTACGTTTTATGACATTATTGAACTTTATAAGTAAAAAAATGATACTTAAATTTATAAATGTATACCTTGGAGATCCATCAGGGGCTGTAGCCATTTATGTATGGTTGTGCTGGTACATTATATATTGTAACTGATATTTTCTAGAGATTTCTCATATTAAAAAAATTAATTTAACTAAAGTATTACAAAAAAAATAACAATATAATATTAAATAAGCAAAAAATTAAATTTTACTAAAATCCAGCAAATTATGATTTTATAACAAACTTCAGAAATTTTTTAGCCATCATAAAAATGTCAACTAAAAACTAAATATATAATATCTTTTATATTATCACTTTATTACAAATGCTAATCATTTGATATAAAAATAATTTTTTTTTTTGCCTATTTCTCTTTATATTACATGAATAAACTAATCAACAGCATTATTTGTGTTAACTTTATAATACTTTTTGAGGAAAAAAATTGATAAGTAAAGCTATAAATATATCGATATTAAATTATTGTTGTATTTGGCACTACAGATATATCATTAAAACTCATTATAACAAACTCAGGAGAAAGTAAACTGTAGTATTTTGATCAACCCATTTGTTGCATGAATAGTCAGTCTGATTTGTCGCTTATTAGAGTCTGTTTGGTTTTTTTAAAATTTAACCCTTCAAAAACTACTTTGGAAATCACATGGAATTAAAATGGCAATCAAAAAACAATATTATTCTTAAAGTTATAAAAACTGCAATATTATTCTACATTGGTAACAATTACATAACAATATATGCAGGTCAAAAAAGTATCCGAAATCTGAAACCGAAAAAAAAAACATCGTTGCTTTAACACTCGCGAAAGTTAAATAGAAGTTTTATCTTTAAAAGTTTAATATTTTTTAACTCACGCAAATAGCATAATTTGCATATTTAAAAATACATTAATTAATATATTCATTAATCCAGTATAGATTCGAAACTCTTTGCAAGTGAAGTCAAGGGTTAAACCACAATAATCTTTGTGTCTTATCCAGAAGTCTTTACAAAGTATATAGAGAATCTTTATCAAAATATATAGTGTAACACTTTCTTATACGTTTTACAAGCATTAAAAAGTAAAAAGTACGCTTTTTCTTATATTAAATTTATTGTAATATGAAAGACAATTAAAAATGCATATAAATTAAAACAATAAAATAGTAAATGCAGCAATATGCAAATGTTGTATGTTCTAGAAAACCTAACTTTTAGGCAACAAATATTTGATTTTACTATACCTAATGTCAAAATTTCCGGGCAATTTTGCTTAAAATTTCAAAAATTTTCAAAAAAATTTTATTGCAATTAACTATATAGTTTTATAAAATTTATTGCTTTGTTTCAAAAATGTGCGTTTTATCATAGTATTGTTTAAATATTCTTTAAATATTTCAAAAATAAATAAATAAAATAATAATAATAATAATAATAACAATAATAATAATAATAATAATAATAATAATAATAATAATAATAATAATAATAATAAAGACCCACAAGCGAAAAATCCACATCTTTTAGTCAAAATTTTGTAATCAAGTTAATCAATATAAGATTCGCGCATTAAAAAGCATTAAAACGCTCATGTTGTTATATATTACTTTTGTATACGTATATTAATTATACGTTTAAAGTACAGCATAATTTTTTAATTTATTGATTTATAAAGTTAAAAGTACCTTAGTAAGGTTGTGGCGAGTGAGACTCTTGATATCATAAGTTTTTTATTTTTATTACTAATTTTATTTTTAAATAGTTTGAACTTAACAACAAATTTTTCTTTACTTTTTGCCTTACATTGATCAAAAACGTCTTTTAATCACAAAAATATTGTAAAATACTGTAAATATACAATCAAGTCTTTTTATATATAATTTTACAGTTTCAGTAACTCGTAGGCCAATTTAAAAGACATTGAAAAATTGGGCATCATTTTAAAGAATGGGGTGAAAATTATGTTTAACTTTAAACAAAGCTTGCTACGGAAATAAACGTCAAGATGCTTAGCAAATAACAGGATAAAACAGTTTTTAAAAATTTTGAAAACAAATTTTTTTTTTTTTTTTTTATTTGCATTCACTCCCAACAAGGCTGCAAGCAACCACTATTAAGTTGGGAGTTACTAGGAAAAAAAAAAGAACAGAGTTATAGAGCAAGGAAACGGTTGACAGAAGACTTGAAAAGTTGAAGGTTGTATGAGTCAGGAAAACATGAAGATGGAAGAGAGTTCCAAAGAATTGAAGTGCCGGGAAAAAAACTAGATGAATAAAAGTTTTTAGAGCATGCAGGGACAGATTCAGTAAACGAATGAGACTTAGCTGAATGACGAGTAAAACGAGAATGAATTTTAGTTGATGGAACTAGAGATGATAACTACTTTGAGCAGTGACCATGATAGTATCTGTAGAAAAGAGAAAGAGATGCAACTTTACGACGATGGGAAAGAGGCTCAAGCTTAGCAGATAGTCCAGGTCCAACAACATTAACAATGCGTTTTTGAACCTTGTCAAGCAGAGAAAGTGAATTGTTAGAAGAACCAGCCCAAATATGACAACAGTATTCCATACAGGGACGAATAAGAGATTTGTAGAGGTAGAATGGAAGAATGGAATGGAGAATGGAATCAGAAGTGAGGAGATAGCAAGCACGATAAAGAGAAGCAACCTTAGCTTATTTAGCAATCGATTGTATATATGGTTTCCATGAAAGGTCAGCAGTAAGCGATAATCCAAGAAGACGTAAAGAGGAGGACTCAGTAAGAGGATTGCCATTCATTAATATAGGAATGTTGACCATATTACGGTGGTTGTTTGCAGTAAACAACTGGGTTTTGTTAGAGTTGAAATTCACAAGCCACTGTGAACCCCAATCTATTACTAAAGTGAGATCGGATTCAAGATCAGCTGCTTGTTCTAGGCAATCAAAAAGAGAAGACTTTTTGTCAAGACAGGAGTATAAAGTTGAGTCATCAGCAAAAAGAGCTACTTTAGATGAAAGGTTGTCAGGAAGATCGTTTATGTAGATAAGAAACAAAACAGGGCCCAGGATGGAACCTTGGGGAACCCCAGAAGTTACTGGAAATAAAGAAGAGTGTTAGCCTTCAAGGATGACTTTAATAAACCGGTAAACAAGCAGCAGTAACAAGGCTGTGCATCAAATCAAAATCAACATTTAACAGTTGCTTCAATATTAAGAGAAAATATACAGAAAACACAAAATCCAAAGGTACTTTATGTAGGCACGTCTTTAATCAGTAATGGTGCGGTAAAAAACGACACAGAAAATATCTGTGGAGGAATTATCTGCGGAGGAAGCCTTCTGGCTTGCTAATGGATCAAACAACTTCACAATAGCACCATAATAGTCTTTTTAATAAATCATGTCGTGTTTTCAAGCATAGAAAACAGAAAGGATTTTGGTCACCAAAGATTTTTTGTTGAAAGGAAAGCTAATTGCGAGGAACATTGATGGAAATGGCTTTTGTATTCTAATTGTAAAGAGACTCTATATTGCTTTCCTTGAGTTTTGGGAAGGGCAAATTTTTAACAGCTCAAGATATTGTCGCAAGGTTGCAAGAAAAAAAGAAGTATAAAACTCAAAAGAAGACTGCATCAGTAAGAAAAAGAAAACTGCTAGTCATAGCTAATACAGTTTAACCTTTTATATTTATGAAAAACAATAAGTGTTTTTATATATCAAATATATGCCATCATAAGTTTTCTTGAAGCGAGTTTGACCTATTTTAAGCAGGTAATTTTTCTAAATAAGGCAATTTCGGCAAAGAAAACCATCTTATCTTTTAAAGAAAATTTGCGAGGAACTTTTCAAGATAAGTGTTGAAACCGTTCATTTAACCGTTTATTCAATGAAATCAAATTTTCTTTTTTCGGCATCATCAGTCCGTCGGAAAATTCTGAAAACTCTGATGTTTTTCAAGATAACTATAGTTAACTTGAAAAACATAATAACAGACATTATATATATATATATATATATATATATATATATATATATATATATATATATATATATATATATATACATATATATATATATATATATATATATATATATATATATATATATATATATATATATATATATATATATATATGTATATATATATATATATATATATATATATATATATATATATATATATATATATATATATATATATATATATATATATAATATATATATATATATATATATATATATACAGGGCCGGCGCGAGTACGGGTCACTTGGGGGGGGGGGGGTGCCATTACAACTTTTGCCGTCTAAAAAAAAAAAAAAGGTCCTCGTTTTTTAAAATTTACCGACTAAAAGTCATTGATGGGGAGGTGTATCACCCCCTCACACCCCCCTATCGCGCCGGCCTTGTATATATATAAACGTTACAAAATAACAAAAAAACCAACCGTTTCAAAAAGAAGACATTAAAAAGTATAAAATATAAAAACCAATCAAATAATATAAAAGTGACCGTTAAATTTTTGTCAAAATTGGTCCCCAGGTTTTTGTTTTAATATTATCCCCGTCATCTCTACTTAGAACGGTTTTCCTAATATCTCGTGTCGAACTTTTGCTTTATTTATCTTCAAGAATTCTCTAACTTTTCTTATCTTGTATTCTGGAATGACTGTCAAAGTCTTAGGGTTCAGCAAATCAAAAGTACCACGGCATGTTCTAGAATGTTCCGTGGCTCCTGAACTCGACCATCTTTGATTTTTACAGGCTCTTTGGTGTTCCGCGCTTCTTGAAGAAATTTTCTTTTTGGTCTCACCAATATATATACTTCTGCATGACTATTGAAGCTCGTAAACACCCGGATTTGAATTCGGAGGTAGTTTTGTTTTGTTATTGCATAGTATGTTGGGGGCTGAAGTAAATATAACTCTAATGTTTTGTTTTCTAAATTCTCTTCGGTTTTCTAAATATATTTAAAAAATAGTTATACGCTGCCTTTTTTTATTGAGATCAATTTATATATATATATATATATATATATATATATACATATATATATATATATATATATATATATATATATATATATATATATATATATATATATATATATATATATATATATATATATATATATATATATATAGTCTGTAATTAGATAGTATAGAATCGTCACCATTTTTGTTTACTAATTGCAAT